TGGGCAGGACATGCGCAAAAGTGGGCGGGGTTACCCATGAATTTCGAAAGAGGAGTGTCTCCAAAGCAGCCGTACCTTGGAATCTCACTCAGCAGCTCTGCAGTAATAGAGAGAGAACATTGGTCACAGACATAATTTTTCAGCCTTACCAACTTCCAAAAAAAAACCCTGTCTTGGAAGAAAGACCCTCTCCGAAAACCGCCTTATAGTTATAATAGAAAATATAGTTTGACCTAATAGTCGGTGTAAATGGGATGTACCGAAAGAAAACTAAAATCTAGAAAAGAACAGTGATCATCCTGTTTGAACCCCCGTGTGATGCACGCGAATGCGTGCGCAGCCAAACTGGTATCAAATAGCTATGAATGGGAGGGTGGTCGGATGTAGTAGCGAGAATGGCAGAGCAGTTGGCGAGAGCCCTCTGAGGCTGATGGTGGTGGTGAGGCATTTGAGACTTTTCAACTAGGACGAACTTTTTGAATTGTTCACTACAGTGGCCGTACGGAGAGAAGTGGAATAAATGGAGTATAATACTACGCAGATTAAAATGAGCTCCAAAGCACAGAAGTGGTTGTCACGTACGCGTCGCGCGCGCACGTGTGTTTGCTAAATAGACAACGTGTGAGAGTCTAATATGTTCGCAAGTAATCAAAACAGAGCGGCTCATACGAAATTGAGCCAATGGAAAACTGTCTTCTAATCACCAAAAGCTCTAGGTGATGATGTCGAAACAAATATCACCAATCCGCTTTTCCCAAACAACCTGGTTAGTTAGTCTTTCTCGCCAACGACGCGGCCAGCTTCAACCCAAATCGATTGTGACTGGAAAACCTCAGTCGCTGATAGTGTGAAACGGAAGGCCTCGCAAAAAAACACCCTCTGCTAATCACAACAGCACAACCTCGTCTGGAACCACACAGATATGTCTCATCCGCAATTTGCCACAGTCTCTTCTTGTGCGCGACCTTCGATGGAAGGCGGTGTTTCGGCCTTATATCGACGCGGTTACCGTATACGCGGACATGTGGTGGTGAAAATCAAGGGAACTTTTGTTCTGGGATTAAAATTCAGATTTTAGGTTATTTTATGGTATTTTCGACGCTGATAGCGAATATTGATTTTTTATTTGAAATAAACAATTTTTCAAGGAGTTAAGCAAAAGCAGCGCAAACAGCGACGCGGTATAAGCGCGACCCCCTCTCCCTGAATCGATCAAGTACCATAAATTATTCTGACTAATTGTTTGAGGGGCGGAAGTGGTGTAGTGACAAGTGGCGCGCTCACCACGCGAGCGGTCCGGGATCAAATCCTGGGTCGTGAGTCGCCCGGGCCAACCAAGCCTTCCATCCCTCCGGGGTCGGTTAATTGGTACCAGACTTGTCTGGGAGGATAAAAACACTGACTTGTACATCGGCTGGCCCCGCAAGTCATTGTATAGGCCACATCGCATTCAAACGCCACTACGAATGTACAAATGGAAGTAGAATGCGTGCCGCATCCCAAAAGGGATTGATCAACGGCAAATGCTTTATCCTTTTATCCTTTAATTGTTCTACGCAATTGGTTTGCACATCCGGAAAATTGTGTCCTCATATCCGCGGCAATGGGCAGTATTGGGCACTAATTTCACAGACGCCCGCAACAGTACACCTCCAAGGTCGTAAAAATTTTTTTGAACTTTACTTAGAGGGGTAATTCAATATTCAATACCCCGACCACCTACATGACATTGAATGTTAACGTTAGCGCCTCTTGGCGTCGGTTTCGCGGCAGATTGGGACGCGCGATTTCTTCGACTGTGCGCCAGCATTGAAAACAGATGTTATATTCCTAATCAGAACGTCGAATAATCTTACGTGAGTTTCTAGCGGATTTGTTAAAGGGGTGGCGCCAAACTTTGGGGGGGGAGGGATTGGCCCCAAAAGGTGTCAAACGAATGTCATATTTGTGATCAGGGCACAGAATTACTGCTGAAGGCGAAATTTAAAGAAAATATTCCCTGGCCATTCTTGAGCTTGTCATAGTCCATCCAATGTGCCAACCCATCAAACACTGCCTCTTCCCCGACTAGTAAATGATCCCATAGGAAGCAAAAAAAGGTGGGTGACGGAGGTTTTTATCGACTACTAAATGATCCCATAGGAAGCAAAAACGATCGGAGGTCCGAAGGTATCGGAGAGGCCGTAGCAGCGCGGGTACTCGCGGGCGCGATCCGGCCACTGCGTCGCGCGGGGGTTTTTGCCTGCTCCCTTTCGGGCCTGAGCCGTGCACCCCTCCTTGACCGCCCGGGTTCCACCGCCCTCCGGCAGCAGAACCCTGGCGACGCAACGCTTGGCGCGGACGCCCGGTCGCCGTACACCGCAACCATCACGGGACTCCTCCCCTCACTCCATCCACACCAATCTACTGCCTAGAAGCTGGCTCACAGGCGCCCGCCACGACGCCCAGTGGCCACACGAAGGCGCAAACTGACGCTATTACATGTTGGGTGGTCGGCGAGCATTGTGCGAGAGAGCATGCAGACAGAGGAGGGTGCGAGGTTGACAGGCAGAACTCAAGAGAGCACGCATTGAGTGGAGGCGACCAGAGAAAGCTGTGGGTGGTCCGGCGAGCTAACGGCGTCCTTTCTGCTTATCGATCGCTCCCGGGCGCACCCTTTCTGGGGTGCTCCTCTCTCCTGTCTTATATTTTTGGCCGTTCCACTGCATTTCACGCTTCTTGTTCACATTATAAAGTGGAAATTGTGTGTCTTTGTGGGTGGTCGTTAACCAACGCTTCGGGATGTGCGAAATTCCCTCTAGTTCTTTTTGGATCTATTGTTCCACAAGTATTTCTTGAAAGAAACGTTACTGAGCGTAAATCAAGTATCACAAAGAGGGCATGAAATCTGAGTCGGTGCTATACAAGTAGGTGGGCACGCCGCATTTTTTGAACAGAAATGTATGTCAGTGGGACTGCTGCTCGCTACTATACTGTCACGAGAATTGGGGAGTTCGTGAGCCAGGGGGAGTGTAGCCAATCTAGGGGGTGGGGGTGAGGGCAGTCACTTGACATGCGTGAAAAGCTGGGTGTGCCCACCACTTGTATAGCACCTCATGATCTATATACCGTTAGTTTGGGCTAAGTGATGAGCACGTTTCCCGGCGAGTGTGAACTCGATACATTCCAGCCTTTTTCACGCATTCACGTGCTGCCCTTACCACGCGTAGACTGGCTAACACTCCGTGGAGGAGTTACCCTCATCATATGCTCCGCTAACTGAGAAGACCTGGCTCTAGTGGTGAGCATGCCAATTTTTGAGCAGAAGGAACACCAGGGGCAATATTTCCCATCCATCCTGGAAACGCCGTTTATGCTTTCCATTTTTAGAAAAGTAAGTACAGTGCTTGGCGTAACTATTTCCTTTCAAGTAAAGTGAGCAATGAATGTACCGATTACACATTCACAATTTCTTTGGCGCAATGTGGCTCGGGGAGGGGGGCCATGAGAAAAGTCATCTAGGACTAAGGCCTAAACAGCAGGGACGAACTCCGGAGAATACGAAAACTGCTTCCGTACACCAGAGTTCCTCTTTCTTCAAAAGCTTAGTCCTAAACGGAGCGTTTCCGTGTTTTGCCGGCGAATGTCGCGAGGTGCCGCCCCCCCCGCCCCGAAGCCACATTGGCGCCATTTCTTGTTATTAAAAAGCGATCTTATCAGAATGCGACAATTATTAAGCAATTTCTTTCTTAGGTCTAATTCCTAGTGCATTTCTAATAAACAGCACAACTAAGTTCGGAGATAGTACTATTCGTATTGTTCTTCGAAACGATTCTGGCATCCCATTCCATTCGCCGTTAACGTTGGGCTATACTTCGCGATTTCGCGGTTCTGCGATTTTGTGTTTTTCGTGAATATACGAATTATCACATGTGTAGTCGCATGATCGTAGCATAACGTGGTTGGTAGGTATCGACTGCACACACGATCTGCAAAGTATAACCCGTCCTTTCGCTTCATGTCCCTTAGGGGGATCTCCAGAACAAGGGCATTCAAAAACCGCTGGTAGGTGACACTAGGACTAAGTCCAGGACTGGGAATAAATACAAGAGAGAACGATGGTTGCTCTTGAAATCCCTAACCCCTCCCTAAAGCTTAGTCCCAAGTTCTATCAGTGGCCCACTCATTTCAATGTACCCCCTAACGACATGAAAGCGCCCGTCCCTTAGGTAGTCCTCATTTCTGGTAAAATGAACACTGAAGAGGTCCGGTCTTCCCAGGCGGTGATCCGAACTTTGTTGCCATAGATAGCGGAAGGCAGGAGTAGTTGGCACGGTTCCATCAAACGAATTTGCTTCACCAATGGCGTAAGTTACAAAAGTCCGTAGTAGTAATTTTTGCGTACGGTAGGTGCAGAGTTGTGCATAATCGATACGAGCACGCGACGCGTGGTTCTCGCGCAGCGTGGTTCATTTCTTCGTCGCGTCTCTCCGGACGGTGTGGTCTTCATTCCAGTCGGTGTTTTCATACCTTTTCTTTTTCTGAGTATATCTATCTTTCTTTCCAAAGTTCCATTGAGCGATTCCTGGGTTAGTGTGGGGGCTTGGGGGCGTATGTGGCTGTTTGTTTTACATTCAGTCATGAGCCGGTTAGGCTTTGTACCACGTCGTGCAAAAATATGCTTGTTACACAACAAAAGTTGTGGTTGTCTTGTTTCCCTTCCTGCTCGACTCCATCTTTTTCTTGGTAACGCATTGTGTTTTGTGGTGTCCGCAAATCACTCACTACTCACTAACCACTATTGTAGGGTGTTCAGTGCTTGTGATACATTTCCGCGTTTACAATGGTTACCACAAGGAGCATGGAAGGCGAGACAAACAACCCCGCCACTACCGAAGAGGTGAAGCTGGAAGAGGAGCAGCAGGAGGAGCAACACGAACAGCAGGAAGAAGAGCAGAATGATGCCGAGGAGAATGGCAAAGAGAAAGACGAGAAAGACCAGGATAAAGAGCAGTCTTCAAATGATCAAGACGACAAGGAGTCTCTTGATGGGAAGAAGTTGCCACAAACGAGTTACGTTCGCCTGCGTGGTCTGCCCTATTCCGCGAAAGAAAGCGACATTCGTAATTTCTTCGAGGGTGAGGAAAGCATTTTCGTTTCTGGGCAGTTGTATTCAACGACGGTAGTTAATATTCTCTCGGTATCGAGGTCACTACAATTACAATGAGCAGCAGTCACAATGGCCGACGCCCAGTGGAGAGTGCTATTGCGAGTTGCCTTCGAAGAAAGATGCTCTCAAGGCTTTGGATCTTCACAGGAAGGAAATGGAAGGCAGATATATTGAAGGTGAGTTTTGTAATGGTCTCCAACTTGTATCTGTAATGTGAAATTTTCCACTAAACGCATGGGTTTTGAAAGGTCCGGCTACCAGAGGTCCCAACACCAATGGGAAGGGGGGCATGGGTTGACTCAAATTAAGATAATTTTAGCTTTTTTTGGGCTGTCCTCGCTTGGGCAAGGGTATCAGTGGGCTTTGTAGGCGAAAAAAGGTCAGCAAGTTTTAGATGTGCATTTCAGCATGGGTTTGAAATTGGGTGGTGAACTTCTAGGCACTGGTCAAAATGACATTAAGGCGTGAGTCGAGGCAAAGCTATCAGCCAGCTGTTATATTTCAGTGTTCACCGTGTCCAACGATGAACTTACCAATCTGAAGCGCGTTGGGATTGTCTCGGATGATGGGACAGTAATCCGCTTGCGCGGGCTGCCATTTTCCGCTTCCACACAGGACGTGAGGACTTTTTCAAAGGTGCGTTTCT